TAATGCATAAAGATTTGTATTTTTAACGATAGTATCCAACATATTTGTTATAAAAAAAAGAAAAAAAAAGTCAATCAGCTTAGAGACACTAATGTTAAGATATGTTGGTAGCTGAACAAATGCTTGATGAGGTTGTTTTAGGTGAATAAATGGATTAAAATCAGAAGGTAGTTGTGGTAATTCTTGTATAGTTTTTGTTAATTTATATTTTCTTTTGTAGGTATTTTGTGTGGTTATTTCATGTTCATCCTCATCCTCATCCTCATTTTATTTTCTGAATCTGGATTGTTTAAGTATTGACGAAATGTTAAGAATAGTATATACTTTCTCTCATCGAACCCTGTTTCTAGACTTTCTGAACTCGAAGTCATGTAAAGGATGTTTGGTTATTAAATTTTTTTTTTAAATTTTTCTTTTTTTATGATTATCTGATTACACAATTTACTATCGATAATCTACGTGATCATTATTATCATTAATTCAAAAATTTGAATGCACATGATATAGAACTAATGGATTCGTTTTGGTTTAACAATAGAGGGTAGCTTAAGACAATCAAAAGCAATTAAACAAAAATAGCAAAAAAAATTTTAGCATTCAAATTTGAATGCTAGACGGTTTAAAGGATAGCATGCTTCATATATGATATATATATTTTTTTATTTTAAATAATAATCAATGAAATTCTTTAAAATATTTTTATAATTTCAATTATTATTTTTTCTTATATATATAAAAAATCAGATTTTAAGAATTTTAATTAAATTAAAATTTCTGATTTTTCTAACAATCTTTTTATATTTAAAACAATTTCAAAAGAAACCGAATAAAGCAAATATGTATTTTCCTTTTATAAAAGAAATTTTTTGTAGTTTTTAATAAATTCTGAAACAAATTTAATTTAATATTCTTTTAAAATTATAAGTTTTCTTTATAAAGTTGTTCAAATTTTGGACTGTCAAAATCTCATAAAATTTCCAATTTGCATTTTACAATAAATTGACCATTCATAAAGGAATTCATTAGAAGGTTTTCTAATTTAATCATTTTCTTTTTATAAATCCTTTTAACAAAAAGATTCATAATTGATAAATATACAGTTACTTGTAAATAAAATTTATGATTGTTATAATCAGAATAAGCAAAATTACAAATAAAATATGCGTCGAAATCGTAATTATAAAAACCGATCGACTTTAAAAAAAAAGTGGTGTTTTTTTTTTTTTGAATAATTTAACCATAAAAATTATTGGTTAAGTATAATACAAATTCGATTTCAGAGCTATCTCTGCAACTTTAGTTTTTTTTTTTAAACTTTTGTTTTTTGGTTAATCTCATCGTTATTTAACGCAGTCTAGAACTTTTTCGTAGTAGCTCATGAAATTAAATAAGTAAGTTATATACTATTATTGTCTAATAAAAAAGATGGAATAATTAATATACAATATATTTAAAGTATAACTTTTATTTGAAAGGATGATCATTTGATGATAATCATTGTACGCGTGTAGCTAAGAATAATCTAAACAATCTAAACATCCATACTAAAAAAAAAATGTCGATTGAAACTAATTAAGATATAAGAGCGGGAATCGCTGGTTACAATACATAAACAAAACTATGAGAACTTTAAATTCCGAGTTAACGAATAATCTAATCATATTTGAAATTATTCGGAATGTCCAAAGTAACTTACCCTTCTATTGACCATTTTTTTTTTTTTTTTTTTTTTACCAATTACACTAGCGCACGGGCAAATCTTGAAATAGAAAAACTTTTTATTATTTTTTTTTTTTTTTGTGTATCAAAGTCATTCGATAATATGTAGGAGTACAATATAATGAAATGTCAGATTTATTTAGTCAAAGATTTGCCATGATCTGTTGTGTATAATTGAATGAATACCATTTAAGGCTTGTTTTTCACCTTTTTTTGGGTTTATTAATATTATAACTATTTATAATCCATTCGAGAAAGACGTACTTATTTTTTTTTTTTTAAAAAAAAAAAGAACCTAAATCGGAACTAAGGATCATTCAGTCCCTAACGCGGATTTGATAATCAATAAATGTTACTTCAATGTTGTTATTTACTACGCGATGTAAAAAAATTTATAGATCTCTTTAATTAAATAAATTCTCGACAAAGAAAAAATCAAGACATAATGATATTTTTCATTTTTAAAATTCTAACGCGAACTGACTTCTGTCGATATTTTTTTTCCAATATGAAAATCGTTTGGTTAATTTGTACAGTATATATATACGGTATTTCTTTATTTTCTCATATTCGATTTCCTTATTGTTATAATGAAATTTTTTTTTTTCCATCAAGTCGAAACATTGCCTTTAATTCCTCATTTGGAGGCCCGCGAAAAAAAGATATATATGCACCCTTAAATTTATATCATCGGGATCGTTGTGGTGAATAATGTAACATTGCTCAATCATCAATTTTATGAATTCCCGACAAAAAAAAAAAGAGTACACCAAAACGCGCGATTTCTGCAGGTTATAAAATATGCAACAAAGTGTTTAAATATATTTTTATTTGCATCGCCACATTCCTTCTTTGGTAATATTCAAAAGGAATGACGTAGCAGATTTCGGAATTTCGAACACAAAAAAAAAAAGGATTTTTTTCTTAACTCCTATATAAATTCTATCGTTTTTTTGTGACATAAAAAAAAAAATTTTTTTTTTGATACCTTACTTTTATTAAACTATAAAAAGACAAAAAAAGAAAAAAAAAATCGTAATTTTTTATTTTTATTTTTTTTTTTTTTGTTGTGCCTTTCATTTTAAAAATATTTATTTTCTCATATATATATATATATATTTTTCTTTATTTTCTTTCTTTCTTGTTCTTTGGAATGTACATACATACAAGTTTTATTTATTTTATTTATTTAAATTTTTTTTTTTAGAAATAATATTATGTCATCACCAATATATACTTCTGACAGTCCAAATTCTCCTCCTTTGAGAGTAAATTCAAAGGCTTTAGTTTGTAAATGGGACGAGTGTCCAGAAACTTTTATAATTCTAGCCGATTTGGTATCTCATTTGCACGAAGGTAAATTTTTTTTTTTTTTTTTTTCCTAAATCATTAGTTATTAATAAATGATGTTCATACATATAAATATATATATGATAAACTTTTTTTTTTTTTTACCATCAACGATCTCCCGATATAGAAAGGACCTGTACTAACTTAATTTGACCAATTACCCTCCCTACTATACTCGTGTTTTCGAAAAAAAAAAAAAAAATAATAAAATTTGTTTAGATCACGTAGGAAGAAAGAAAGCGAATTACACTTGTGAATGGGCGAGTTGTCCTAGGAAAGGAGCTACTCAAACTTCTCGATTTGCGTTAATTACTCACCTAAGGAGTCACACCGGGGAGAAACCTTATGATTGTAAAGTGCCAGGTATCGTTTGTTTTTTTTTTCTTTTCTTTTTTCTTTTTCTTTCCTTTTTTTTTTTTCTCTTTCAAAAATTTTTATTATTGCCTTCCTCTTTACCTACATCATTAAGTGAATTAGAATTAAAATCTTAAAAAATATATATGTATTTTTTTTTATCGGCTTCAACAAAATTTAGGTTGTGAAAAAAGTTTTACGCGACCTGATTCGCTTACAAAGGTAGATATATTTTTTTACCAAAAGAATTATCTAATTCCTTTCCCTTAAATTTCACTGATAATCTATTAAACAACCTTAGCACACGAAAAGTCAACATAGTGAACCATATAAAAAACGAAGTAATATGGAAGAACCTCAAAGAACATATAAAAAACGAAAAACATCAACTTCACCCGATGAGGAAGATGATTCTCAAGCTTCTTTTAATTTAACTCCGATTCATCCTTCATCTAATAATAATAATAATAATAACAATCATAATAATACCAATAATAATAACAATAACAATAGCAATAGCAATAGCAATAATAATTCTTCTCCAAGATCAAGACAACAACAAGCTTTAAGACATTCATTAGAAAGACAGACACAAATGCAACAACAATCTTCTTTAAGGAACCAACATCATCAACTTCCTGAAAATAATTTAAATCAAAATCGAAATTATACTTCAGAGGATGGATCTTCTTTATCCGAACCATCGGAATCATCATCATCTTCTGATACCTCCCCTGATAATAACAATAATGTCAATGATAATGATGATATTGATGATGAATCACAACAAAAATCTTTTTATGAAAAATATCTTGTTCTTAAAGCTAAGCATAGATATATTAGAAGAGAGAATGAGTTATTGGCAGATGAATATCAAGTGATTAAAAGGAAATTGAAAAGGTTAAGAACTGAAAAAGACATTCTTTTAGATGCTGTCATGCAACAAAGTAGTATTGAAGAAGAAGAAGATGATGATGTTGAAGAGGATGTTGGTACAGACATATAAAGAAATCGTTCATCTTTTGTTTTATATTTGGGAAAAAAGATTCTCCGACTTGCTATATATAAAAATAATTTTTCTCGTGTAAGTATATATATAATATATAGTTTTTTGAAAGGCATAAAAACTGCGTTGATGGAAATAAAAAAAAAAGGTCTTCCCGAAAGACGTATGAAGATTGTATATAAGTGTTAATGCTATAATTTTAATTTTCTGATCTGTTTATTATTAAGTGAGAAATTATTCGTTGTTGCCCTCAAATAAATTTAAATTCATGACAAATGATACTCGTATCACATGAGATTAATCTTCCAAATTTATAAAAAAAAATAGTTAATAATTTTTATTGAACTATTTTGAAAAGGAAATAAATAAACAACGAACGCGACCTAAAAAGAAAAAAAAAATTTTTTTTTCGAAAAACTATTTAACTATACACAATTTTTTTTTTTTTTTTTTTTTTTTACACTATTTATTACAACCTATATTTTACATCACTATAATTCCTTAACAAGCTTTTTAGTTTTTTTTTTAACAAATATCTTTAAAAAAAAAAAAGAAGGAAAAGAAAAGATATTTAACGGGGAGATTGAGATGCCGGAATTGCCTTCACGGAAGGAATATGACGTTGCAAGTATTCAAGTTCAGCTTTCAAATCCTATTAACATGAATTAAAATGATTTTATCAGTAAAAAAGATATAATTCTTTTAGGAGGAAAAAAAAATAAATAAATACTAACATCGCAATATCCATCCAATGGCAAATCATTTTTGTCAAAACCTTTAAAGATAAAATAAAGATAAATAATTTGTTAAAAGAAAGAGAGATAATAATATATATTAAGATATTACTACTTACCGAATGGATTTTCAATTTCAGCACCTATCGTTTTTTCAAAAAAAAAAAAAAAAAATATTAATAAATATATATATATAAATATACAGTGATATATATATATTTAAAAAAAAAAAAAGAGGAATTACGTACCGATAGCTTCAACACCGAAAAGCACAAAAGCAACCAAAAAGACGGTTGGAATAACCGCCCATCCGACTTTATCAACCAAAGTGAATGGAAGTACCCAAACATACAAAAGGACAGCTTGTTTCCTATAATAAATAGTGAATATTAATTTTTTTTAAAAAAAAATCGTCGTCTCCAAATAACAGATTACTTACAAATGAATGTTATAAGCAAATGGGATAGGGGTGTCACTAATTCGTTCTAAATCACCGAAAATTTCAACTAGAGAATTTAAATTTCCAGAAATTGCACCAAAACGAGCACCATCCAAAGAACCATTATGTTGTTTTTTATCAATATATAACCCGACGTGAAAAATAATTTCAAGTGGCAAACTCATACTAGCATCAACATCACTACCCCATTCTGATGCTCCGAACCATATAGTTGTTTCATCACGAGAGTATGAATTACGAAGAGATTTATAAGTTGAAGGAGACATTCTATTTGCAATAACACGAAGTGAATGTTCAGGGATATCCGATGAAGGTCTATTGGCAACACTCCTATTAGGATCTTCATCATGCCCAGCTCCCAATACCGTATTTTCTTGTGCAACGTTTCCATCAAAGTACGTTAATTGAAATCCATCAGGGAGAAGACTTGTCAAGTCAAACCAATCCGTACCAAATTCTAAACGAAGATGATGTTTAATAGCAACTGCATATGCCAATAAAAGTTTAATATTCATTTCTTTTTCTTTACGATCAGCTTCGTCGAGTTCTCTTACTCCAACCCAAATATTTCTTGTAGCATTTCGAATTTGAGTGCTAATAATTTATGAAATTATATTAATTATATTAATTCCATATGAACGAGATGTTTGGCGCAGCAAATGACGATCTTTGATTATCACAAAGATTATGATTATTCCCAAAATATACATACCACATTGAGGTGAATAATTTTCTGCCTTCATAATAACGATCATAGGCATTATTCGTACGGAAAGCCAAAAGAAGACCGACCACCACAGCAACAGTACCAACTAAATTATAAATAATAATATCATATCATTATCAAAGAAAATAATAAATGAAGCACAATAAATATAAAAATAAAAATAAAAACTTACCTAAACTCTCAGGAAGAGTTATGTTTATACCAAAGACGATATATAGAACAGCTAAGAGAGTGGTGAAAAGTGTTGAAAAGAAAAGAATAGGCACACAGCTTGGAAGTACCTATTAATGAAAAAATTAAATTATTATAAATGTATATTCTTTTTCCTTTCCTTTCCTTTTTTCATTATTTTAGATACTTACGGAGCCTCTAATTTGTAGAACGTCAGGATAACCCCAACCTCTGTGACGTGACAGGCGTTTCCAAAATCCCCTTTTGGCATTGGGGTTTTTTTTTCAAATGAATATCGGGCATTTTTGGATATGGTTTTGTAGAATTTATTAAAAATCCGAAGATGAAGGAAGAAAAATTTTTAAAGAAGTTCTTGGGGACTTTTTATCTTTGTTTTCGATGAAAAAAAAAAAAAAAAAAAAAACAACTGATGCTTAAGTGTACCCATTTAGAGATCTGTTAAATGCTTCACAGCCCTCGTACTTGCAGTAAATATTCATTATTGGTTAGTAGTAATTTAGATAAACTCGTAAAAAAAAAAAAAAAATTGTTTGTTGTACGTTTATTGTATTATATAATAAAAATAATATCTAATCAATCCTTAAATCGCAGGTTCTCGGTCCTTTGGCGTTACCTTTGTTTAGAATTCCATTACTCGTATCCATCAAAAGATTTTCTAGACATAGATGGTTCTTGTAGGTTGACGCCTAATTTAATTTCAGCCCGTAAGTTATCAGATTAATCGATATTAATGAACTGCTCGATCACAATTTTAAATTTTTTCTCCCTTCTTTAACCCGCATGTACAATAAGCAATAAATTGTCCAAGCCGCGCCTATTATAGGAAAAGCTTTTCCGGGAAGAATATAAAATTTTTAATTCATTGTATGCGCAGTTATCACATATTACTTTTGATCTTATGCAAGGTGTAGATCGTAACGATATTTAATTATATTTAATTCTGACGATCGTAGTTCAGTCTATATATCGACGAGAAATTCACTTATATATTTGTGATATCAAAATGATCCCTTTGATAACGTTAAATCGGGGGTAAAGTATTTAGAAAATCGTTTTAAAACTTCTTGGATAAATTATCCTCATATTATTTGATTGCTTTTTTTTTTTATTAATGAACACGATTATGTCGATTATTTTTAAAAAATTTTTTTTTTTTTGGGCGAAATTACATCTACCAAAAAAAAAATAAAAAATACGGGGAATTAAAAAATCTATGCAATTTATAAACCTTTTAACACAAGATTATCGGGTTTGAACCTAAGATAAAAGATATTATATTAGAAAACGAGATAATAAAATAAATGATGAATAGTAATAATTTTACCATATCATCAATCTTAAGTAACATTTTTACTGTTTCTGCAGATAATTCTATTGCACTAGTTGATACAAGTAATGGTTGTATGACGTGTTCTTCGCGCATATTGGTAATTGTACCCTATATGATAATCGGCATATGTATTAAAAAAAAACTCCGAAAGGAAATACGCATACATTATGTTTCAAACCTACCTTTCTAACATTTATTCCCGCAGTTTTTTCTCCCAAAGCATGTTTATTTCTTAACTCGGTAACAATATTAATAGGATTCAATCCTGCATTTTCGGCTAATGTGACTGGAATAACTTCAAGTGCATTAGCAAAAGCTTCAAAACAATGAGCTTCCATGCCCTTTAATGATTTCGCGTGTTCTGATAATCGTTGCGAAACTTCAATTTCTGGTGCTCCCCCTCCCACAATAAGGGCTCTATTAAAATAAAATTGCGAAATATTAAAAAGTTTTCTAAACGTTAAATAAACGAATTTTGACCAAATATATACTTTTTTTTTACAAGACAACGAACTACACAAAGCGCGTCATGTAACGAACGCTCAGCCTCTTCCAAAACAAGAGAATTAGCGCCACGACACAAAATTGATACAGTTCTGCCAATGTGTTTGACACCAGTAACTTTAACAACACGAGCACCCGAAGTTTGAACCTCATCAACGAGTTCAGCGTATCCAAGTTTATCCTCGGTGAATGAGTCTATATCCGCAATTGGTTTACAACCAGTACTCTAAAAGCAATGATCACTTTAGATTTTAAAAGAAATCTTTCATTTAAATTTTTTATATAAATTACCTTGCATATAAATTCAATCTCGTCCCTTTCAATATCTTTAACCGCTAGAATCTTTAGTTTTGACAAGAAATGTAAAGATAAGTCATTAACGGCATCTCGAAGAATTGATTTCTGAATGAGAAGAACGTTGCATCCAGCCTTTTTTATCTTTTTGCACATATTAAGAAGATATTGTCGTTCTTCTTTCAGAATTTTATCCATGAGCCTATAATCGTTAACAATAATTTGGTTCTCCATCTAAACAGTAAAAATATTATTAATTAGACAAAATGAAAATTCGCGAGAAATAAAAATGAGTATAACATACATCAGGCTTTGGAGGAGATAATTGAAATTGAATCAAGCCTATCTTAGCTTTCTCAATGCGAGTTGGCCCCCCGGAAGTTTTAACCACATTTTGTGCAAGTACTAATCCATCTACCAATTCAGTATCATCAATTGTACCACCAACTTTTTTAACAATACGAATATCCTTCAAGTCCACATTCGTAGCTGTTGCTGGATCAATTACACGCAATACAGCATCAACGGCGATAGGGGCAAGAAGGCCGGAATATTGTGAAACGATCTATATTAAAAAAATTTTTAATAATAATAATAATAATAATAATAATAATACTCGCATTTACTTAAAAAAGGTAAATATATCTAATACCTTTGAATTTAATGAGGTACTGGCAGCATTTAACAAGGATTTCTTATCCGATAAATCAATATGAATGGCCATTTCTGTAAGAAATTCGGTGGATTTGTTGGCAGCGCGTTGAAAAGACTCGGCAATTGTTGTAGGATGTATTCCTAAATTTAAACGAAACATAGTTGACATTCATTATATTATATTGTCGATTACATCTCATAGAGAGCATCATTACCTTTGCCAAGCAATTTCTCCGCGGCTCCCAAAAGTGCGCCTGCAATTACTACAACAGACGTCGTACCATCTCCTGCCTCAACATCTTGAGCAGCAGATAAATCAACAAGCTGTACAACGTTGAACCGAAAGATTAAAATGAATTGTGTAGTATTTTAAAAAATGAAAAAGAAAAATATAGACTGTACCATTTTAGCTGCAGGATGTAAAACAGACATATGTTTCAAAATGGTGGCTCCATCATTAGTGATAACGACTTCACCGCTTCCAGTTTGAATCTGATTGAATTAAGATTATATGAAATATTAAATTCATAATACGATATTACTTTTCTATTTAATAGTACAAGCTAAATACGAAATTTTAACGCGTGAAAATTTTGGCAGCAAAAGGGGAAAGGATTATATAACGATAATACTGTATAAAATAATGATTTTACATGTTTGGAAATTTAAGGGATAAAATATTATTTAAATCTTTACCATTTTATCCATGCCTTTAGGACCAAGAGAGGTCCGTATAGCATCACCAACCGCTAAAGAGAACAAACGAAAGCAATATCGTAAGGTTATATAAATAAAAAATATATATATATTCATAAACAAAACATTTGAAGATATCATATTATGTGCTTAAAATGATTCGTTAGTCAAATCGATCTAAAAGAAAATGTATCAACAATAACTGTATCTAGTTTGTCTTTTTCTATAATTTCCCGTTTTAATCACAACAGCATAATGACATCGCTTTCAAATCGATTCGTGCTATGAATAAGTCGTATTAGATCTAAGCAGTACCTTTAGCAGCGATGATGTTGCTGAGTCGAACTTCAACTGGTTTTTCCTTGTCTTTAAAGGATCTATTTGACATTTTTTGTTTTTTGTAAGGGAGAAGTACATTTGACTAAAAGATGGATTATTATGCGTGCGATCGGCCAATCAGATTTAACTAACAATCCAATAAGTTAAAAAAAAAAATTCCAGATCGGCAAAATTCTAAGAAAAATGGGTTCAAGTTCCGATAATGATAAGAAAATTTCAATTGACTCTCAATCAAATGAATCGACAACAACAAAAGAAAATCAATTCTTAATAGTTTTGAAGGTCTGCTAAGTTAGAAAATTTATATATAATTTCGTCATTTCAACTTTTCATGTTCATTATCCACTGGACTCTCATTTTTAGAATTTGAGCTGGCAAGACTTTGAAAATATTGGTAAAATTCCGTGTGCTCGTAAAAGTTTCTTATACGGAATCGGAGGAGGGGCGACCGTCGGTTCATTAAGGTTCTTAAAAAAAGGTTAGCTCGACTTTGCATTTCAACACACTTTATATTTAAAGATAAATAAGGTGTTATAAATCAAGAAAGAAAAAATCATGAAGCTAAATATAAAATGCAAGGAAACCCTTTATCATAATTATAGGTAATGTTCTCTCGGCTTCAAATTGGGCTGTTGGATCATTCTGTATAATCTCAATTGGCACATGGTGATAATAACTTTGCAATTAAAAACTCGTTTTATTTATTACATTGTTTTATTTAATTTTATTTATTCTGCAATATTTCATGTTAGATATTTACAATTATTTATTACAATAGGGAATATTGTCGTTATAAACGTCAAATCCAAAATGAGAAATTTAAGATAGTTGTAGAGCAAATTAGCGAGTTAAATAGGAAGAAAGCTCAGGTTAAAGCAACGGAGAAGGCCGAAGAATTGGACAATTAAAGGCTGATGCTGTTTAACTCGGAGATTTTTTTTCCAAGTTGCCAATTCATGTTCTTTCTTAGGATTTCCTTCTTTATGTTCTGAAGACGCGTTAATGCTAATAAATGATCACGTGACTTCATGATCTACCATTTCTCCAAAAAGGAATCTCTCTTAAGACACGTTGATTAAACGTGTCTTTCTTCAAATGTCGCGAAAAAATTTCAACCGTTTGTAAATTCTTTTCCTTCGCATTGAAATATTTTTAAATATATATATTGGAATGTGTTTTGTTAAACACAAAGTTCCTAATGGGAATTGATCAGATCTTCTTTCGATAATTTATACCATTCATAATAATAATATTAAATTGTGATTGCCAAAATGGCTGTGCAAATCTATCTTCCCTGCAAAAACGCAGAATCGCGTGATAGTATGATTTTCTCCCTATTTTGTTTAAGAAATTCTCACGGTATAAAAAAATTTTTATCCTATAAGATAGATTCATTTATTTTTATTTTCACTTTAGAATTGGATCCTATACTTTTAAATAAGATCTCAATAAGTGAAATAAGTGAAACACCCGGTATTTGTATGACGGATTGGCATGATAAAAGAAGTTAAAGAGAAATCAAATGTTATCCGGCTTCTTTAACAATATTTGATGATATGGCAAATTCTGGTGAGACGATAGATAATAAGCCAACTTCAAAGAAAACTTTATCGCGTGATTAGGATATAATCACGTGAATATATGTACTGTTTAGTGCCAACATATGAACATTTGAAAAAAAAATATTTTCTTATGACGTTTAACTTTTTTTTACAGTTACATAAAAGGGGGTCATCGAAGAAATGCTAAAAAATCTCTGACTCTTGCTATCTTATCCAAACTATCGAAGGTGGTTGATTGTTTCATATATCGATAGTCAATTCATTTTTTTTTTTTTTTTTGTTCTCTCATTACGAAGTTTATTACCTTTCCTCCTTCAGTCTTGTCTATAAAAGTTGATGTGACTCACGTTACGTTGTACTCACTATTCGGTTGTCATTTGATACTGGCACTCTAATTATAATTAGTAATACTCATTTTCGTTCCTCTCAACTTATTTTCGTTTCCATTACTACCACAATTTTGGCACACTCGAGTGTGCCTTACTAAAAATACCCATCCTGGAACGCGACTCGCAATTTGGAAGGACTAGTAGCAGAGGCAATTCAGTCAATAACGACGCTCACCAACTTTCATTACAAAGCTTATTAGAAAGTGCTTCTGCTGCAGTCACTTCACATACACTGCTCAGCAACTTTGACGAAGATCAAGTTTCTCTGACTTTCCCCTTCGCTTCGTCATCCCACATTACTTCTCCTTCAAATTCAAGTTCCTCTTTCCCTACGGACGAATTACGAAGTCAAACAGGTGGCTATCACCCTCGAGACGAAGTAGACGACTACCCTCAAGCTAGTGATTCGGATTCGGATTTGCGTTCGCCTAAACGTTTGCGACTCGAAGAAATTACAGAAATACAACCAGCAATGAGAATCAACCAAGGTGAAAATGGTGTAGGAGGTAGCACTAACGGTGTTTCTCTTAATAGTAGTAATGGGGATTCTCAAAATGCAACCAACGGTCAAGCATTGACTGACAGTAGAATGCAAAGAACCCGACAACAAGAGTTGGTTAGGCTAATGGTTCAAGCAATGCAAGACATGGGTTATAGGTATGCTCATGTTTCTGTGATTCCTCGCTGATCTTCTGATTCATTTTTAATCTTCTTGTATTTTCATAGTCAATCTGCTGCTACACTTGAACAAGAGTCGGGTTTTCCACTTGAAAGCTCTGCAGTTGCAAAATTCAGGGATGGTGTCTTGAAGGGAGATTGGGCTTTAGTAGAAAGTCTTTTCCCGACATTGGAGCTAGATCATAACAAAGATGTTGTGGTAATTTTAGTTAATTATTTAAATTAATCATTATTATACTTTTGCCTTCTCATTATAACTAAAAATTCCCTTTATGTAGGTTGTAAGATTTTTGATTCGGCAACAAAAATATCTTGAATTATTGGAAGCGCGTCAAATCAAGAAAGCTTTAATTGTATTGAGGAATGAACTCACTCCACTTGACTTTAACTTGGAAAGACTTCATTCTTTATCAAGGTAAGTTACAAATTTCATTTAAAACTTTCATTTACATGGTTAAATTCGTTTTCTCATCATTTTTTTTTATTTTTTTTTACGATTTTATAAGTTTTATGATGTGCAGTAATGCGGAAGACTTGAGACGCAGAGCTGAATGGGATGGTGCAAAAGGAACGTCACGCCAAAAATTATTAGTGGAGATTCAAAGTATTTTCTTATATTTTATTTCTTTTAGTAAAAATTTTTTTGTTTTCGATGTTAACTATTTATATATATTAATTTATATTTTTAGAGTACATTTCGCCTTCAATTATGGTTCGCGAACACCGTCTTGAGACATTATTGGAACAAGCAACTACTCTACAACGTATATCATGTCTTTATCATAACACGAACGAATACATTTCATTATATTCTGATCATGTTTGTGACAGGTATTATGAAGGAGATTATATTATTGTTTCGGACATAAAATTAAATATTTTAATTGTAATTAATTTATAATCAGGTCACAATTCCCTTCAGTAACTACCCATATTTTTAGACAACATACTGATGAAGTTTGGTATGTTGCATTCTCTAATAATGGGAGGTTCCTTGCTTCTGCATCAAAAGACAAGACAGCTATCATATGGAGTCTTGAGGTATGAACTTTTAATGTAACTTTAAAATATCAAGATTATATCTTACTATTTATAAGAATTTTTTGATAGACCTGGAATTTAGTTCATGTGCTCAGAGATCACATGGACTGTGTGTCCTTTTTATCATGGTCTCCAGATGATTCAAAGATCTTAACCTGTGGTCAGGACAATGTCTTAAAACTTTGGAGTGTGGAGGTATACAATTAGTTCAATAAGATCCTCGCAAAATTTTTATACCAATTCATTGAATAATTAATATATAATAAAAATAGTCGGGTGAATGTTTAAACACCATTAAAAAACATGAAGAACCTGTGACCGCATGTGCTTGGCTTCCAGATGGAAAACGTTTTATTTCTGGAAGCCAGGATAAAAATACTTATTTATGGGTAAGAAAAGAATCTTTAATTAAAGACATTTATTTCCCCTAACAAACTCTAACAATATTTTCGATATTAGAACTTGGATGGTACAATTGTTCATAAGTGGTCCGGTGCGCGAATAGCTGATTTAGCAATTAATAAAGAAGGAACTAGAATGGTCGCAATTTGTCATGATAACAAATTACATATATATGACCTTGAAACAAGAAAAGAAGAAGCGTATGTGATATTTTCTCTATTTCTTTAATATTAAAAGGAACTCCCTAGTTAATTATTTCATTTTCCGCAGGATAATGGACGAAAACGCGAAACTCACCTCGATTTGTTTATCGAGTGATTGCAAATACGCTTTGTTGAACCTATCCACAAAGGTAGAACTGTGAAAAAAAAAATAGTGGATATAGGGACGTTATTTTTTAAAGAAAAGATTTTTTCTTATTTTTAATCGATTTTATTAGGAAATTCATTTATGGGATATTGATGAAAGGCGGATTGTGCGAAAGTATTTTGGCCAGAAACAAGGAAGATTCGTCATACGATCTTGTTTTGGTGGAATAGATCAAGGGTTTATCGTTAGCGGAAGTGAAGGTTTCGTATAATTTTAGTTGACATTTCGAATTAAAGGGACGTTACTGAATTTTTTTTTTTTATTTTAGATTCCAAAATTTACGTTTGGCATCGCGAACATGCAGATTTGATAGAAACACTGTCTGGGCACAAAGGTTCAGTTAATAGTGTTAATTGGAGTCCAATCGACCCGTACATGTTTGCTTCAGCTGGAGACGACAAAACTATTCGAATGTATGTAAAAAAAAAAAAAAAATTGATTCATTCATTTCAACATATAATATATTTATCAAGATGAATTAAAAATTTTTCTATAGATGGGGACCGCCAAGTTCTGCTGACCATAATGGAAAAATGAAAACACCATGATCTTGCATTAATGGATTTTTGTGCAATATATTATATATATATATATATGCAAATCCGTACATCACATTTCCAAGCTTTGTACGGCTTTTGCGGATTTACACATTTAAAAAAAATTTCCGCAAAAGTTAAATTTAAGTTTTGGCGTGTACAAAATTAGTGATTTGTTGGTGTAATGAATGGATTTGGATTTGGTATTTAAAGAATCCAAGACATTGTCTTCATTTACTACATTATTTTTTGTTCCTTTAATTATTATTTCACAATTTTTTTTTTGTAGATAGTGATCCTATATGCTTCTGATCTGAAGCCTTTAGTTCTATCTGGAAGCATTAAGATCTTTGCTTTAGAATATATATAAAACCAATTCCTTTTTTTTTTTTTTTATCTTTTTAAGCTTGACTCTGAAAATATATACTGTAATTCGAAATATTGTAAATTTTTAAGATGACTGTTGCTTATCTATTGTTATAATGTGTGGTAATATAAATAGGAATTTTTATTTTCAATTCCTATAAATTGAATGTAAAATTATATCTCACTAGATGCAAAATTGTAAATTTTTTTTTTTTTTTTTAATCACTCTCTTGAAGAGGAGTCATTCCATTCTTTATCCAACATGACTGAGGCCAGATCTAAAAAAAAAAGAAAATTTAAATTATAATGTATAATTTAAATCAATAAATCATAATCATAATTCTTGAATAAATTTAAAAATAAATATTTTACTCTTGCAAATACTCTCCCTCTAATCAAAGCATAAGGTACTGGGCCATAACTTCTTGAATCAGTAGAATTACTCATATTATCACCTTGTAACCAAACATGCCCGCGGGGAACCTGCTCGCAAAAAAATTAATGAAAATGACTTTCAATAAAAATCATATGCCATATTTAATTTACCGTGATATATTTCCGATTTATAACCGTTGGATCAATGCAAATACGATCACCTGGCTAAATATATACAATTCATCGTTAGCCCAAAGATTTTTTTTAAAAAACGCATTTTTTTTTTTTTTTTTTTTTTTGACTTACCATTCCTATTATCCTTTTACAAACGGCTCTCAAAGGATTCGTCGGGGAAATGCAAACTATTACATCCCCAATTTCAAGCCGTTTTAACTTTGGACTGAAATGTTCCAAGACTACAAGATCTCCAACTGTGTTAAAAGTCGGAAGCATCGAAGGACCTATGCACTGATAATTTTAAAAAAATGGGCTCTCACTTTATAAAAAAAAAAATTCGGATATGAATTAGAAAATTTTTAATATAATACCATCGTAACTTCCATAACATGTTCTCCAATAAAATGTATAAAACAAGAAAGTTTGATTGCTATTTCAATTTTTTTTAAAAGAGGCCGACCAAAAGGTATATGAAGCGGCATTTTTAAAAAACAAAATAAAAAAAAAAAAAACCCCCGATTTTTGTGAAAAATTTTTTGACGATCGGTTAAGTTACACGACATTAGAGTTACTGCGGATTATGCTATTATTGTAATTAATACGATTTTTCTATTTTTTTCTGTTTCATTAAATGGCTATCGTTGACATAATTGAACAACAATTAAAAAAGTCAGAAGAACATGATTTGGCGAAGAGGAAGTTAAAGGAATTTGAAGAAGGGGAGAGCGGCATGCTGCTAAAGTCATTAAGGAAAAAGAGGAAAACCCTTGATGAAGAGGACAAGCAGGAGATGAGGAGGTTGGAAAAGGAATTGGAGGAGTTGAAAAGGGATAAAAATAAGTGGGAAGATCAAGTTATATATTTGCAGAATAAATTAACCGATAATATGAATAAAGGTAATGAAAAAAAAAGTATACACCATTTCATTTATTTATTTGTTTGTTTGTGGGAATATTTAGTATGAAATATTAACTAACTTATTTTTCTTTGGCTATTTATTATTACAAATCATTGCCGTTGCTTCATCTTCGTCTCATTTACTAATATCGAATAATTAATTAATCTCGTGCTTTTTCTTCCCTGCTTATCATCAAATACCACTCAAAAATCGCATTCACGTTATTTTAGAACAGGGTAAGTATCACTGCTTTTCTCGTTGTCATTTCACACAATTCATGACTAACATTTTACATTGTTTCATGTATCGTATCAGCGCTTAATGTTCGCATTTTGAATTTTTCCAAATAACATCATTTCTTTTTTTATCTAATCTTTATTTTAACTTTAATCACGGTAATAAGCGCCCTGTAATAGACAATACATCTGAATTTTGTCAAAAGATTGCTACACCATTTGAATATCTACCCAATTTTGAAGAACTCACTTCTGCACTTTTTCAGCCTTTTAACTTGAGAATTCCTCTTTCGACATCTCTATACCATAAATGTGAAATAGCATGTCAAACCTTTTCTATTTCTGAGTATTTTATCGATACAGATATTTTTAGAAAGTACATATCAGTTCTGGACCCATTTTGTTTCCAGAAGAAATATATATTTCTTGTAATATAGCGTGGAAACAGGTTCCAGCGAATTTTCTCGAATATGTGATTGGGATCTTTTGCTTCGTAACCCTACAGCAATTTGTCGAAATCATTTTAAATC